TTTGTATTGCAACACATGTTTCCCCTCATTCATTACACATTGAATGTCTAGAATGGTGATGTTTAGTGGTGACCTCAAGATCCTAAGACCTCTCTCTCTTGTTCTCTACCCTTTATTTATTTCAATTGCTTAGTATTGAATTCATTTACATTGTAGTTTAATTAACCAAACAAACAATCTTTTGATCACTCGACCTACTAATCTGACCTTGTTTCCATATTAACATAGCCCCCAATCCCTTGGGACGATCCCTACTCACCTTAATGGTGTGTCGCTACACCACAAGCTTAGAGAGTGTACATTAAGGCGAGGGCCAAGTTTTACATTTATAAAAGCCACTACTACCTTCACTAAAAATATAGTTAGGGTGAGTAGGGATCGTCCCAATGGATTAGAGTTGAATTTGGTTGTGGAATCGCTATTAGGGTTAGTAGGTCGAGTGATCAAACAAATAGTTGGTTGGTTGATTAAACTAGAGAGCAAATTAAACTAAATAATTGAATGCAATAAAGAGTAAGAGTAAAAGAGAGAGATCTTGGGGTTTAGAGGTCACCCCCAAATAATACTTTTTTACACCCTTAACAAGTGACTAATGAGGGAAATGTGTGTTGCAATATTAATGTGTGTGTGTGTTTGGTTGATTCAATTAGCAAGGGTGACTAATTAAGTATATATTGTCTAAGCAACATGTAAAAAGTACAATATATCTAACAATTAAGTATATATTGTCTTAATAGCATGTGGAAAGCACCATATATATAACAAGTCATTAATCCTTTCATTAAGCTCACAAACCAAATACACTACAAGGTTAGAGACATATGCTACTTGCATTCAAAAGTATGGAACATCAAACAACAAGCATGGATTGTCCTCCCATCTAACAACTATGCTACCACTACACTACAATTAAGCTAATGACATGAAATTAAACTAATTAAGCTAAGGGAGAGGCATAATCCATCAAGAAATGAGCATAAACCATCCAGAAAATTACAAGAGCATTCCATTAAGCACAATGCTTTGACAATCTCTAGATCTATGGCATTAATACATATAGACATGCATCAATAACACAAGAAATAGAGACAAACACATGAACATCTATTCTAGCATACATAGACATATGGATAGAATGAAATGATCAATTGAAAGCATTAAATCACATAAATCATTGAATAAACAAGATCTGTATATATAAAAGTGCCAAAACATATATTACAACACTAATCCCTCAATAATACACAAAATCAAGAACTGAAGTTGGATCAATAACCTTGGACTTGGATCAATCGAATATGGCTGAGATCTATCGAACTGAAGTTGGATCAATCCTCAATGGCGGCGCTTTTTGGATAAAAACAAATCTGAGATATTTTGAAGATATTTTCGGGAAAAGGACAAAAGTGGTTGGTAGGGTGGTACAACTAAATAAGATCAATCATTTGGATAAGGACAAGGTAGTTCGATCGATCGAAGAATGATGTTGGATCAATTGAACTTTTAAGATCTCTGAAAATGTCATCATGGCTCTGATCCATCTTGAAGTGCTGAGATCGATCATGTTTGATCAATCGAACTTTGATCTGAGATCGATTGAAGATGTTGATTTCCACCTTTTTCTTCTTTTGCTTCCACTTAGCTCCTTAGTTTGATTCATCCCAGAATTGCTTCATTTCTGCTCTTATTTGGCTGAGTTAGCTTATTTCCGGGATAAGTGCTTGAAAATGGAAATAATATGAAATCAATCTAAAACGGTAAAGTAAGATAGGTAAATGTACTAGAATGCCTAAGCTTAAGGGGTTTAAATACGCACTTTTCAGCGCTTATCACACCCCCAAACTTAAATATTGCTAGTCCCTAGCAATGAACTAGAAAGTAAAGGAATGAAATGAATAACTAAACAACTATGAACTAGAAAACAATAAATGGATAACGCCACTTTCATAGGGAACACGATTGCACTTAGTATATGCAACAAGCCTTTTAAACCCCTAAGTTACCCCTAGTGGACGAGTGAAGTCTCGTGCGGGTTTCTAGAAATGATACCCACAAAGATTAAGCTCATTCTTTCTAAAGAGACACCAATATTGCAAACAAATATTGGGAGAAAACTACCTCAAGTATGCAGTTTTTCAAACATTTCTAAGTAATCTCCCATAATCTCAACATCAAGCAAGCAAGTATGGTCGTCCACACATCAAGAAAATGATCATGCAAATCAAAACAACTCTAGAATCCTTTTGAATGGACCGGCATCAAATATGTTGCTATCTAAGCCAACTAAAAAATTAATCACATCCTTACCCTCAAACTAGCACACAAATCTAGTACCGATCATCAAGACAAAAAGTGAACCTTTTTATTAAAGGTTTATTGTTCTAGGTGCACTTATTCTTTTCACTTGATTTATTTATTTATTTATTTATTATTATTATTAGGATCAAAGATGGAAGCATGGTGCAATATGTTGATCTATTAAGCTTTCTAGCGATTCATGAGGTCGAGCGTTAGGTCAATGACTCCCAAACCAGACGGCTTTAGGGCATTAGGCGTTCAAACACCCCTACGGACTTACAAGCTCAAATCAACTAGGCTATAAATCAAGACAACCTCCATCTAATCATTTCCCACTTCTCACCTTTTGGGAGAAGTCCTCACTTTTTTTTTTTTTTTGAATAAACAAGTTCAATTATTAACCTAGAGTTTGGGCCCTACACCTTTCGGCATAAGAAGTTCAGTGCTTAATGAGGCTAGAATCCCGGTTACTTAGTGAAAAGGGGTTGTTATCCACCTTTATCAAGAATGAAAGCTTTCAATGCACTACTAACTCAATTGGGATATAACCAATTCAATAATTAACAAAACATGTACCCCATAAATGAATGCTAATGTGGGCCTGTGTTAGTGTAGAATTCTAAAGTGAATCTCAAAACAATCACAAAATCAAGATGACGTGGACCACAAGTGCAAGCAAGATATCAATCTTTCGAAAACTTTACTCCTAAATGGCGTCCATAAGGCATACAAGGAGTATTGAACTCTCAAGTCAAGCAATTTTTAAATTTTAAGCAATATAGTCCTTAAAAGATCAAAATCATAGCTAGATATGGACCAATCATAGAAAATCTCTTAAATACACAAGTCATACTCAAAATTTTGAAGTTTAAAGTTAACACTGTAAAGTACACCATTACCCCCAAACTTAAACGGCACAATGTCCTCAATGTGCAAAGAGAACAAAAGGAAAGAGTACACCGGTGCAATTAAGGCAAAGAATGGCTGGGACTGAAGTATCCAAAGTGGGTGGCATGGCCCCCTTAAACTTGGGATTAACTATGGTCCTGAAATTTGGCACTCGGATAAATTCATTAGATAACAAAAAGGGATAATCAGTGTACAGTGGACGTGCAAGTGTAAATGAAATAAAGTAGTGAGAGAGGTATAAAGGTGGTCCTGAAAATTGTGTAGCATTCTCTCTCACTGGAGTCATTATGATGCACCTGATGGAGTTAAATAGATAGATATGAGAACATAATAGATGACATCCATAGCAAAAACATATATAAAGAAAATAAAGTATAAAGTATATCAAAAGATCAAAGCCGACATATCCGGCTGCAAATAATATACAGTGACAAAAATGAAGTATAGATCACAGAGGTGTAGTATAAAATGATAGAAGAAATTGGGAATCTCAGGTAGACGAGGCAGGATGGGCAGGGCGAGCTCTGCGGATATCCCTAGATAAGTCTCGGAGTAGAGTCATGACATTCGTGCGGAATGTAGCAAAATCAGCTCGGTGGGCTACAACATTGGCTCGAATGGCAGCAGTATCAGCTCTGATAGCAACCACTACATCCTCAAGAGCCTGAAGACGCTCTCCAAAGCCGGGGGTCTGATTAGGAGCCTCAGGTACGGATGAATCAGAAGAAAGATCCTGAGTCTGCTCCTCCTCGTGTACTGGCGACTTAGCTAGAGAATGTTGCTCTACGTCATCTGCAGGTCATTCTAAATCAATGTCTATGTGCTCGGTAGTTGGACCTACTAGTACATCGTCCACTGCTAGGTCTGCTGCTGCTACCTCTACCGCTGCCTCTGCCTCTAACTCCTCTGCAACCACTACTGCGTGGTCCTGCAGTCTGGTGATGATAGCATTATAGCTCTTGTTCTAGTCCTTCTTCAAGAAGTGACAGGAACCTCTTTTAGGGTGCTCCTAAGGATGGAAATGATAGAGCTGGTCGATCAGTATCTGGGTGATGAGGTGGCCGAATGGGAGAGACTTAGCCTTTCCGTGCTTCTCCTTGCTGATATACTCATCGAAGAGCTTCCTCATCACGCTCCAGATGAGCGCGGGGATAGATACCCAGTGGCCTGTATAAAATGCGTAGAGGGCTGTCAGATAGTTTCCTCACCGCTGAATCTTGTGCCTAGCTATATATATGTTCCGAAAGAGAACGGAATCAAAGAACCATAGGTCATCTGGAAGAAAGGTGCGGGTGGCGAAGGTCTCACCATCGACATGGTGACCTGTCAAGAAAATTGCCATGTCGACATAAGAAGGCCTTTATAGACTGGGATATAGCTCTTGTAGCTCCGGGGGCATCGGTGTGGATAATGGCATGATCTGGCTAGCGTGTCCACAGTAATAGCAATTTGATGGCCATCTATAGTAGTGACCAGCTCTGCTGTGGTATGCGGGGACGGTCGGAGGTTCTAGAAGAACATTCGTACTAGCCGCGGGTAGACTGGCTCAGTAACCGGGGCAAGAATAGCTGCAAGGCCACTCTGGAAAATATCATCGTAAGCTGATCAGGTCAGTACCGATCTGGAGAAAAATCTATGTCAAACACTGACTTGTGGTCCACTGTCATATGTGCATATCTAGGCGTGGGCCTGTCACGCTCTCGAGCTGGCTGAACTGGCTGGTGTGGTGGAGATGGTAATGGTGAATGCTCAGCCTCAGCATGTGATGGAGATGGAAATGGTGTAAACATAGGCTAAGCCTCAGAAGTAGATGGAATATGATCATCCTCAGCCTCATGGGCAGGTGGCTGAAGTGGAGTAGGCTCTAATGGCTCCTCTTGTATATGAGAGGGCTCTGCTGGTTCTTCTATCCTAGGTCTGATATGTCTCTGAGGCCCGTGTTGCCTCTTGGCAATAGTCTCGTGCTTAGTCATGGCCTGAAAAATAATTTAAAACTTGCAAGGGGAGTCAGTGCCAGAATAAAGAATTGAAAGCACAAAATAGAAACATGCATGTCAAATAAGATAGACAAAACATATAGATGACATGAATCTATGCAAGTGACAGGATATGAAGCATGCTAAACAATGTAAGTATGAAATGCATCCAATGTGGAATATCACAGGCATTGGGTATGAATGAGATAGCATGGACACAAGATAAGATGCATGGAATGTGTGTATGAAATATGTGAAGTTTGATCGATCACAAAAAAAATATGAGATCGATCTCAAAATTTTGATCAATCTGAGAAACTGAAAAAGATGAGTTTGATCGATCTCTCAAGATTAATCTGAGATAGAAGTTCGATCGATCAAACTGTGCGAAGATGAAAACTGAAAGGTCACAGATCTATGACTTTGAAAGCACAAGGGCCACACGAACAGTGTCGTGGGCCCATCAACACAACAATTCCTCAATCCTAGTCACTTTACAAAGCCCATACTCCCACAAAATAAATCAAAATTCAAAATATATATACATATATACAAATCTATATACATATATACATATATATAACATGCTTTAAGCTCCGTCAATGGAGGATATCATCAACAAAATATCGTGGATCTAGCATGTAAAGTACGAATACATAAAATAGAAGCTTAAATCAGAAAGTGGATCTCAGATCTCACCTATAATATGAGAGAAATGGATGAGATGCAAAGGGGGTGATGGAATCCGAGAGAAGAGAGAAGTCAACATTTACCGGATCTCGCCAGAGAATCGCCGGAGAAGATGATGAAGATGGGTGCACAGTGGTGATGGGAATGAGGGACAAGGGTTTAGAGGGTTGGATCGATCTAATGAATCAATCTTGAGACCCTCAAGTTCTATTTTTAAAAACTTTTCCTGTTCAGTTTGATCGATCGAACTGAGATTTCAGATCGATCGAACTGTGATGAACTCTCTTCAAAGTGTTTTTGGAATTTTTAAATTTTTAAAAAATTAAAAACTGAAATTAAAAAAAAAATTCAAAAATAAAAAATATTTTTGGATTTTTGAAAAATAGAATAAAATAAAATAAAATAAAAATATTTTTGGATTTTTTTTAAAATTAAAAAGTCAAATAAAGTCAAACAAAGGTCAAAATAGAGAATTGAAGAACAAAGATCGATCTGAAAAAAATGTTAGATCGATCAGACAGAGAGCAAAAATATGCTGGTTTTTGGTTCAAAAATTTGGTTAAGTGATGGAACTTGCAGATCGATCCAATGATGAAGTTGGATCGATCGAAGAACTTCAGATCGATCTTGAAATGTTTTCAATCGATGAGACAGAGAGCTAAAATATGCAGGTTGATGCAGGCTCAAAAATTTTCTAAGTGTTGGATCTCAAGATCAATCAAAATTTAAAGTTGGATCGATCTAAGGTCTTCTGATCGATTTGAGAATAAGTTCGAACGATGGGATAGAGAGGTGATTTGGATGCAGGTCAAAAAATTTTCTAAGTGTTGGATACAGATGGAAGTTCGATCGATCGAACTCTCATTTGAGATCGATTGAACTTATGCAGAATGCTCAATCACAACATAAAAGTTCATGTAATCCTAATCACAGTTCCTAGCAATGCATATGAACCAAAAACAAGTATCTAGACTTCACAAGAAATGAAATTTAAGATAGAAATGAGGGAGGAATAGGGTTTTGATACCCTACGAAATGTCGTGCTAGTCTTTAATGTCTTTAGCAAGACGTTGGGCTCTTTTAGCCCAGATCAAAGATCTTGTAATGCATCCCCTCTTTGTTAGGGTGATAGATGCTTTGAACCCCACCCAACAAATAGTTCTTTAAAGAACTTGTTAGATTAAGCTCAAAAGAAACTTTTAATCCCTTGTCAATGCAATCACAATCTTTGGGCTTCCATGCCCTTTCAAGGCAAGAATTTAAAACAAGACTTTGAGAATACAAGGTTGAAGATGATCCCTTTGAAGTTTTGGTCTTACACAAAAGCTCATTTCCTTGACATTGAAGATCATAGCATTTATCTACAACATTAACTTTTCCTTCATATTTGTCAAATGAGTTGGGTGTGGGATTGAAGATATTCAACTTCACCTTCATGTGGCTAAATGAGATTTTCATTATCCCCGTCCTACAATTGATGTTGGCATTAGCAGTTGCCAAAAAAGGACAGCCAAGGATAACGGGAATTTGGCTTTTAAGATTGGGGACCGGTTCCGTGTCAATGACAACGAAATCAACGGGGAAGAAAATTTTGTTAGTCTTAATCAAAACATTTTCAATTATACCCCTAGGGTTTTTAATGGATCGGTCGGCAAGTTGTAAAACTACCGACATCGATTTCAATTCACCTAGGCCCAATTTGACATAAACCGAGTATGGAAGAAGGTTAACACTTACTCCTAAGTCAAGAAGCGCCCGATTAATGATATGATCACCAATGATGCATGAAGTAGTAGGTGAACCGGGGTCCTTAAACTTTGGTAAAGTGTTATGTTGCAAAATTGAGCTTACTTGCTCGGTCAAAACCACTTTTCTTGGTGCTTGGCTTTTGTTCTTCCGCTTTTGGGTGCACAAGTCTTTCAAGAATTTGGCATAAGCTGGAATTTGCTTGATTGCATCCAAAAGTGGAAGATTGACTTTCACTTGCCTAAACATTTCCATGATTTGATTAGTTTTTGCTTTTTGCTTGTCTTTTGAAATGGATCATTTTAAGGCATCCGGAAATGGAGCTTTTGGTTTAAAAATCTTTTCAAAATTTTTCTTTAAAGTCTCTTCAACACAAGAAGTTTTTAAATCACTTTGTTTCAAATCATTTTTCAACAAAACCTTTTCAAATTCATTTTTCGGCAAATCTTTCTTCAAATCATTTTCAAAATCATTCTTCAAATCATATTTTGAAGCTTTCTCATTCACAAGATCATGTATATGCAATGAAGGAGGAATGGGATGTGAAACGGGACGGGTGACAACTTGAGGTTGCACCGGTTCACTCTCTTCATTGAACTTTTTGACTTGATTGTCCACAATCCTACCACTCCACAAGGTAGTCACCGTATTAACATGTTCAATGGTGTGGCCTTCTGGGTGAGAAATGGGTTTTCACAACACATTGTTGCTTAGGTGGGGCATTCATAGGCATCTTTCCCTTCTCTCTGGTATTAAGAGTGCTTGCTATTTACCCTACTTGGGTTTCTAGCTTCGCAATAGATTGAGAGTGGGAATGAAGTAATTCTGTGTTTGCCTCAAGAGTGCCCAAAACATTCAAAACTTTTTCTTCAAAGGCGGGACTTCTAGCATTTCCTTAGGAATAAGATTGGTTGGGAAAATGAGAGTTAGCAAATTGATTCCCTTATGATTAATAAGGCCTATAACCTTGGGATCCTTGGTTTTGAAGTGGAGGTGGAATGTACTTCCCTTGAAAACTGCCTTGGGAAGGGCTCCTTGGTTTTTCTAAGAGAAATTCGGATGATTTCTCCAACTTGGATTATAATGAGTACCATAAGGATTGTTCCCTTGGTTCACAAAAGCTGCATTGACTTGTTCATTAGGTTCATTTTGCACTTGTCCATGATGACAATGAGAAGTAGAATGAAGAACAGTAGAACACGTCATACATGTTTCATTTGATGCACGATGAGAATGGTTAGGGAAGGAAGATACTTGGTTCGCCGAGTTTTGGTTAATCAAAAATTGATCAAACCTTTGAGATAAAGACTTCATTTCGGCGGATATTTCATTTGAATGATCGGCTTGATATAAGCCAACACTCTTCCTACCTTGTGAATTTCTACCATTCTTGGATGATAATGTTCTATGCAAAGAATTTTCACTCATGCTCTCATAAAGACGCCACACGTCATCCTCATGCCTATCAATATATAAGCCACCCATGGAAGCATCAACCATGCCTTTGTAATTGTCTGATAAGCTCTCAAAGAAATATTGAACTAATTGCCATTTGGGCATGTCATGATGTAGACACTTCCTAAGTAATTCATTAAAGCGTTCCCATGACTCATGAAACGTTTCTCCATCCCCATGTGAAAATTCCCGAATTGAGGTTCTCATGGCATTGGTCTTAGAAACCGAATAGTACTTCTTCAAGAACTCTTGTTGCATTTCTACCTAAAAAGTGATTGAAAAAGGCCTAAGATTGTTAAACCAATATTTTGCCTTGTCTTTTAATGTGAATGGAAAAAGTTTGAGCCTTCAGACTTCTTCCGGCATGTACGTATATTTTACGATGGAACATACTTCTAGAAACTCGTCCAAATGCTTGTAAGGTTCTTCACTTGGAAGTCCATGATAGTTAGGAAGCATTTGAATGGTTTGTGGCTTAATTTCATAGTGATGTGCTCTAAATGGTGGCAATTGAATGCATGTGGGTGCATTGTATTCATTAGGCATATAGTGATCTCTTAAAGTAAGTGGAGGATTAGCAATTTGAGGTGCAACGTGGGCACCTTGATTTCCTTGAATGATGGGAGGTTATGGAGCATACATTGGCCTTGGCATTTCAAATGGAACTTGGCCTTGTTTGTTGTGGTTGGTGAATGAATGGCCTAGGTATGTCTAATGGTGCTTGAATGTTCTCATGATGCACATTTGGATGGAGGATACCTTGTTGGTCTATGTAACCAAGGTCCTCTACATGCTTTTCATTATGGCCTTCTATTGATGTAATGGATCGAGTAGAACTAGAACTTCCTCTTCCCCTAGGATTTATAACTAGGGATTCAAGATGCAAATCAAGAAGGACAAGAGTTGGTCTTAGTGATCTACGAAGATACATGCACAATGTAAAAACACACAAACACAATGAATAAACAAACACTTCGACTTCACAACAATTCAATGAATCTTCCTCCACAAACACTTAACCCATACTCCTATGCTTTAACAACAATGATGCAAAGAACAATTAAGAATGCCTCCATGCGGGCTCACGATTTATCCAAGAATTTAAAAACAAGCCTCCACGTGGGCCGACGATTTAAATAAAAGATTGAGTAAAGAAAGTCTCACAAAGGTCCTTTAGCACTTCAACTCCAAATTTATAGCTTAGCTTAGCAATTTTTTAAAATTTTTAGCATTTTTTCTTGCTTGCTTAGCTCATTTGCTTGGTGGCTCCTTTGCTTGCCTCCTAGCTCAACGCTCCTTGTCAAAGATGAACAAACACAATAAGTAACAAAAAGAAAAATAAAAAAAAGTAAAGACATGATTAAAAGAGTACTAATTCCTAATGAATTCCACAACTACGACGTTACCTAATCCCCGGCAACGGCACCAAAAACTTGGTGTGTCGCTACACCACAAGCTTAGAGAGTGTACATTAAGGCGAGGGCCAAGTTTTACATTTATAAAAGCCACTACTACCTTCACTAAAAATATAGTTAGGGTGAGTAAGGATCGTCCCAAGGGATTGGAGTCAAATTTGGTTATGGAATCGTTATTAGGGTTAGTATGTCGAGTGATCAAACAAATAGTTGGTTGGTTGATTAAACTAGAGAGCAAATTAAACTAAATACTTGAATGCAATAAAGAGTAAGAGTAAAAGAGAGAGATCTTGGGGTTTAGAGGTCACCAAACAATACTTTCTACACCCTTGACAAGTGACTAATGAGGGAAATGTGTGTTGCAATATTTATGTGTGTGTGTGTTTGGTTGATTCAACTAGCAAGGGTGACCAATTAAGTATATATTATCTAAGCAACATGTGAAAAGCACAATATATCTAACAATTAAGTATATATTGTCTAAATAGCATGTGAAAAGCACAATATATCTAACAATTTTTAACTCTTTCAATTATATCGGTGCCAATCGATACAGAACAATAGAAATTAGAGTTGTTCCCGGTACCAACTCAATGGTAAAATCTACCTCTCTGTCCATTGGCAACCCCGGTAATTCTTTTGGAAACACATCTGTGAATTCCCTTACCACTGGTACACTTTCAAATGTCACATCTTTATTTTTAGTATCAACCACATAAGCCAAGTAACCCTGACACCCTTTCTTCAACAACTTATTGGTTTGTATAGCTGATATGAGACAGTTTGGAATAACATTTCTTTCTCTAGTAAATATGAATTCTGGCTCCCCTGGTATCTGAAATACAACTTCTTTCCGAAAACAATCTATTGAAACATGATACACAGATAGCCAATTCATACCTAAAATGATATCAAAGTTTGGTATACCCAATGATATCAAATTCACCTTTAACTGTCTATCCCCCAATTGTAATACACAATCCCGATATTCATTTACAACCACTACCACTTCCCCTATTGGTGTAGAAATAAATAATTTACTATCTAGTGATGAAAGTGGTCTACCCAAATGCATAATGATAGATGATGCAACAAATGAATGTGTTAAACCAAGATCAATAAGTACAGTAACATTTCTATCCAAAACAAAAAGTGGACCCGTCACCAATTCTGGTGTTGCTTGAGCATCTTGAAGTGTCATAGCAAATGCTCTTCCCTGGGCTTATGAACCAATTGTAGCACCCCTACCTCCTCTTGGCGAGCTCCTTTGTGCAAACCCTGTGATACCCCCAGATTTTCGGATGCGGGTTGGCCAGGCCCACCCCCGAATACTGAATGATTTCAAAAACAAATAGCAATAAAAGAACACAGAGTACAAAATAGATAACAAGAAACATAAACGACTGAAAGAAACTAAAAATGATAATCCATTAATAAAACCTCCGAATCAATTTCCATTAATAAATATTTGCTGATACAAATAATCCTCCAACTTATACAACTTGGGAATCCATATTATGTGGACCCCGGGAAAACCAAACTAACCAAAACGATAAACAATCGATAACTAGATACAGAAATCACAAAGGAAATCTTATGTAGACAATCCGTAAGAACGATGTAAACGATCCCTGCTCAGCACGAATAATCCCTACTCTTGACGAATACCTAAACAAATGAAAGTGGGTCAGGCCCACAACAAGTTCTGGTCAGGCCCACAACAAGTTCTACTCTACTACAGTCCAAGTAGAGACCCGATACGCAGATACATCCTAGATAACTCAACAATAGCTAAATAGTCCATACATATATATATATATATATATATAAATATCCACACTAAGGGACTCTCACTGGACTACAAAGGGGGTCTCAACCTAAATAGAAGACAACATGCAAAACGCACCTGAGGTGGGCATGAGTACCTAGACCTAACAGGGTACACCACTACCTATCATAGCCAGTTATGCATCCCAATGCATATACGCTCCCTAACCATTGATCTTGAGAATCAAGCTCATATCGTGGTACCATAATCATATATATGTAAATTCTATCATATCCATCCATAAGTAATCCATTTAGTCATTCAACTTGTTCAGTTAATCTGACTTAAATATAAGTAGCAGGTAATCCAAATAGTTAACTTGTTCAGTTGATCTAACTTAAATATAAATAGCAAATAATCCAGTTAGTCATTTAACTTGTTTAGCTGATCTAACTTAAATATAACTAGCAAGTAATCCAAATGGTCATTCAACTTGTTCAGTTGATCTGACTTAAATATAAATAGCAAATAATCTAGTTAGTCATTTAACTTATTCAGTTGATCTGACTTAAATATAAGTAACAAGTAATCCGAATAGTCATTCAACTTGTTCAGTTGATCTGACTTAAATATAAATAGCAAATAATCAAGTTAGTCATTTAACTTGTTCAGTTGATCTGACTTAAATATAAGTAGCAAGTAATCTAAATAGTCATTCAACTTGTTCAGTTGATCTGACTTAAATATAAATAACAAATAATCCAGCTAGTCATTCAACTTGTTCAGCTGATCTAACTTAATATAAGTAGCAAGTAATCCAAATAGTCATTCAACTTGTTCAGTTGATCTGACTTAAATATAAATAGCAAATAATTTAGTTAGTCATTCAACTTGCTCAGCTGATCTGACTTAAATATAAGTAGGATTTAACTTTATAATCCATTCCCTTATTCCATAATAGGTAGAAGTGAGCGTTATGATCTAATCCATACCTAATATGCTACCGTCCCATACCGGTGCATATAATTCACATATACAATAATTGATAAAACAGATAAAGCAGTTCATCAATTAAAATCCAGAATAACATCCATGTAATTGACAGAACAGAATTTAATGGTTCATCAATTAAAATCCGGAATAACATCCATGTAATTGATAAAACAGAATTTAATGGTTCATCAATTAAAATCCAGGGTAAGCATAATAAAATAAAATAAGTATATGACCCTATTATGCATCCAATACATATTTAAAAAATATGTTCCAGTCACTTAAACTGGTTAAAGAAGACTAGACAATTAAATCTTTTACATCAGTTAACAGCATGCAAAAATTGTTTAAACTTTCATACTGTTAAATACACTAGCATACAGATGTTAATTATGGTATATGAGTTTTAATATATCATAAAACAAAGTTTAGAATCCTTAATAATAACCCAGAACAGTCCAGGAACTCCAAAAATATCAAAACCGTATCCAAAACCAAATCCAGTACACCTTTAAGCATGAGAGCTTATTCTCAAAAGTTGAAAGCCATCTCTTAACCAATGGGAGCTGGCTCCCCTACCTTGGGAGCTGGCTCTGTGACTTAGGGAGCCGTCTCCCTCAATCTATGGAGCCGGCTCTCTCTCTCACAGAAAGCCGTGGTCAAAAATCTTTGGGAGCTGGCTCTGTCCCTACTTCCTGTTGTCGTCTTCACCTCTGACGATGCTAAAAACACTCTATAATGTATTAGCTTAAGTTCGTAGAGGTCGAACTATGTCCCAATAGTTCCAAAAACTCATAACAATTCAATACGCATTAATAACAAGAATATAAAACATAATCAGTAACAGTTTATGCAACAATTAACTTTCAATTAATCAACACATAAAATATAATTTACAATCTGTATTAACATGCATACATAATCAATTTTAATGTCTGTTATGTTCCTGAAGACTATCTAGGCATGCACAGAACACAGGTCAATAGGAAAGAGCAAGAAATAAAACTTACCTCTAGGTTTCGAATTGAAACCTTTAACCGTCCACTGTCTAGACTTTCCGGCGACCTCTGATTGTCATCAACTCCTTTGCTACCCTAGGTTTAACCCACGAGCAATCGTCCAATACCCCTAATCGGTTCAGCCCTTGTTCTTGGCCAAACCCTAACCCGTTCTCTCTATTTTCTCTTAAACCTCACTGCTCGTGAATATGGTTTGTGTTTTAAGCCCTACGCAGACATAATACGATATATATATAGGCAAAATAGTTTTAACCTAATTCTATTCATGTGAGGAGTTGGCAAAACAAATACATAAATAAAATATAAAATACATATATGTATATAAGTCGGCAATTTTAATGAATATATCTAAAACCCTAAAACTTGATATTACATATATATATATATATATATATATATATATAATATAATATAATATAATATAATGAAGCTAATTTAATTATTAACAATTGCTAATAATTAAACTAACCCAAAATACATAAATACCCATACATACATGTATATCCATCTATGGGTAAAAACTGTACCCATTTACACTATCCAAAAAGTCCATTGATCTTATCCAAGTCCAACTCCGTTTAAAAGAATAAAAATAATATAAACATGTACTTTCAATTAAACAAGTAAAGTAATTTAAACAATTATACAAAATAATTTCAATTTAAAACAAATAAACCAAGCTAAACAATTATACGAAGAAACAATTAAACAATTAATATTAAACAAATTAAATAATTACAACCAGCCAAATAATCAATTAAACAATTAATTCAATTCAACACATTCCATCAAGCCACATAACCACTTAAATAACTAAAAATGCACAAGAAATAAAATTTAAATTCCAATTATATCCTTTTGAAAACTAGGGTATTAAATTCTTCCCCCCTAACAAAAGGAATTCCGTCCTCAGAATTAACGAAACTCTGAATTATTGTTGTTAAAATTCATTTCCGTTCCGTTGTGGATTGTACCTCTGTGTATGGGCGCCACTAAATTCCAAATCCTTCTAAAAAAATTTATAGGTCCAATATGTAGGAAACATAAAAATTATTCCACACGTAAGTTGTATTTAACAACAACACATCCTTACCCAATTTGTATACAAGGGTATATATCCATATTCCTCCAAGTTTCATAGGATATACGCACAAAATTCCTATGCATCCAGCGCTAACTAGTCAGTAACGCTAATTTATAGGTTACTGCCTCAAGTAATAAACACAATCCATGAAAAGTCAATTTAATATGGAAAACTTACCTTTCTCCAAAAAAACCTTGCTTCCTATATGGAAGACATCCCAAACAACCGTTTCCTGATAGGAAAACTCTAGTGCACGAGTTCAACTATTCACAAAATCCTACTGCCGCCTCCAAACTGCGCGTAATCCATTACAAATGAGAGTATATCTCTCCGATGTATCCGTAAATGAAGTTAAGGTCTGATTGTACAATCCTTACTTTCATTTAAAACCAACAAATGAGAGGTCTGCACCATAATATACAAAATCTTAATCATTGTCATACCACCCTCCTTGTGCCAACAATATGACGGACAGAAATTGGAAAAGCGAAGTAAACATTTCCAATTAACCATGAAAACCTAAGGTATATATCCCAAGCATATCCTCTATGATCAAATTTAAATTCTCGATCAAATTCTCCGTCTAGAGATATGAAGCAAAACTGCTACTCTAAAATTCTCATAAAGCTCCTTCTAAATAGCACTTTCCATCCATTATAATGGACATCCACATGCGATAACACTACTATCAGTGCAATGTAAAACTGATATAAAACTCCAAAGTGAACATTACTCTAGTTAATGTTCATAAGCGAACTTACTCAATCCATCACTCTTATCCCATTTGAAAATATTTCCAATTCAATGTCGATAATTCTATCGACCTTCCAGTCCTGATTAGTCCTACTCCCAATTTGAAAAAGGAAGTGGCAAAAATCTCTAATGATATCCAATTATCAATTTTCCACCTTTCCACCAGGTATTAAACTTATAAACAGTTTTGTACATGTCCTGATTCGTACCGGCGCACCAAAACTAACATTAGATGTCCCGATGTAACATATAACCATCTGAGTGCACCGTAAAATTATTTATTTTACATTTTAGGCACTCCAACCTCCATAACATCAGTTACAGAATCTACTAATCCTCCTCCAGCACCTTAACCTCTATTTGAGTAAGGTATCACCGCCTCCGCCTCCAGGTCAGCTCTGATATTCTAAGTTAACCTCTTCAATTACCCTGGTAAGAGCAAATGTCATTATTACACAAACAAAAATGGTAACTGCCAACTCAATAACTAACCGAAAGATTTGAATATCCTATCGGTTGTTGAGAGTGTCCACATCCATATTCCCTTCCACCAAACAGAACTTAATGCAAAGTGTGAATCACCA